AGCTAAGAGCCTGAGGACCTTACAGGACAGAAGACAAAGTCACTTTCCTCTAGCTCAGTGGTTCTCAACCTTCCTAATGTCGAGACCCTGTCAGACAGTTCCTCATGTGGTGGTGACCCCCAGCCATAAAATCATTTTCATTGCTACTTCATAACTGTCATTTTACTACTGTGATGAATCGTCATATAAATATCCTGATATGCAGGATGTATTTTCATTGTTGCAAATTGAACATAATTAAAGCATAGTGATTAATCACATAATAATATGGAATTATATTTGTGTTTTCCAGTGGTCTTAGGCAACCCCGGGGTCGTTTGACCCCCAAACGGGTTGCGACCCACAGGTTGAGAAACACTGCTCTAGCTAATCAGCCTAGTGATTCTCCCAGAGAGGGAGCCAGAAACTGAGCACCAGCAGGTCCACTAGAGAGCTGGGGACACAGGGGGCTGCAGCAGAGTGAGTGCAAACTCACCAGTTCGGCTTAAGCTTTGTGCCTGAAAGATGATCGCCAGCTCATGGTTCTAGGACTCAAAAGCATGCCTCGTTGTCTATTTCACATTTATATGTGTAGATGCATAAAAATGGAGTAAAGCCGACCTCGGTGAAAGCTAGCATCGACTCGATGGCAGTGCGCACATTGTGTTTTGGAATTTTCTCTTGGAATGGTCCCTCATAATCTGCTTGGGGCGATATTGTTGCCATTTGGTGCCCGACGAGCCCACTTCAATTCATAGCAACTCGACGCAGAGCTGAAAGAAACGCTGCCGGGTCCTGCACCATCCTTACAATTGTTATGTTTGATACAGCACCAACGAGACACACAATATGCCTCTAATTCTTTAGTGCTTCTTTCCGTACACCCCCACCCTCACTATCATGACCCCAGTCCTGCCTTTCAGTTCTGGCTAGATCAGAGCATGTACACTGGTACCTTTGAGAGCTCTCGACACATGGAATCCAGGTCAGATACATTGCTATGTTCGAGCCCATTGTTGCCTGAGGTGATTGATAGGTACGGGGAAATCATGAATATGCTTTGGTCAATAACCCAGCAGAGGAGCCCAGGACATGGCAGGACAGGCAAAAGACTGAACCCGCTGCCACCAGGTAGGTCTATTCCGACTCAGAGTGATCCTGTACGGCGTTCTGGACTGCACATCTCTGAGAGTAGAGCGCCTCACCTCTCCCCCACGGAGCAGCTGATGGCTCCGCACCACTGCCTTGGTGGTTAGCAGCCCGCGCTTAACTCTCAGTGCCACCAGGGCCCTAGCTATCCTCTACTGAGGGCTTAACTCCATGCCAGAAAAACTTTACTAGGTGCTCTGTACATATTTTCTCCCTCCATCTTCACAACACTCCAAGGTATCGGAGGTTATTAGTCCCTTACCACCAAAGTGAAAAATTAATTCAGCAAAACGCTGACACACTCAAGGTTATCCGGCTTCTAAAGTCGATTCGCTGCAAGGGGTATGCTACTCCACAGACTGTGCTCTTAACTAATAAC